CCCAGGGGGGTGAGGGCCCCGTTCAGCTGCTGCAGAGCGGCCTGGGCGGGGGCGGGGAGCTGCAGCCCCGAGCCTGGCGCACAACACAGCAATTAAAAATTAAAATTTAAATTCAAACTTTGTCCTCAGGTGTGTCCAGGTGTGCCCAGGTGTGTCCCCAGGTGTATCCAGGTGTGTCCCCAGGTGTCCCCAGCTGTGTCCCCAGATATCCCCAGGTGTGTCCAGGTATCCCCAGGTATCCCCAGGTATCCCCAGGTGTATCCAGGTGTGTCCCCAGGTGCTTCCAGGTATCCCCAGCTGTCCCCAGGTGTGTCCAGGTGTCTCCATGTGTATCCACGTGTGCCCAGGTGTGTCCCCAGGTGTATCCAGGTGTGCCCAGGTGTGTCCAGGTGTCTCCATGTGTATCCACGTGTGCCCAGGTGTATCCCCAGGTGTCCCCAGGCATCCCCAGGTGTCCCCAGGTGTACCCAGGTGTGTCCCCAGGTATCCCCAGGTGTCTCAGGTGTTCCCAGGTGTATCCCCAGGTATCCCAGGTGTGTCCCCAGGTGTGTCCCAGGTATGCCCCAGGTGTATCCCCAAGTGTCCCCAGGTGTCCCCAGCTGTATCCCCAGGTGTGTCCCAGCTGTCCCCAGGTGTATCCCCAGGTGTCCCCAGGTGTGTCCCCAGGTGTCCCCAGGTGTGCCCAGGTATCCCCAGGTGTGTCCCCAGGTGTGCCCAGGTGTGTCCCCAGGTATCCCCAGGTGTGTCTCAGGTATCCCCAGGTGTATCCCCAAGTGTCCCCAGGTGTCCCCAGGTGTATCCCCAGGTGTGTCCCAGCTGTCCCCAGGTGTATCCCCAGGTGTATCCAGGTGTGTCCCCAGGTGTGTCCCAGGTATCCCAGCTGTCCCCAGGTGTATCCAGGTGTGTCCCCAGCTGTCCCCAGATGTCCCCAGGTGTGCCCAGGTGTATCCAGGTGTGCCCAGGTGTATCCAGGTATGCCCAGGTGTGTCCCCAGGTGTGTCCAGGTGTGTCCCCTCCCCCCCTCACCTTCAGCCAGCTTTGCCATCAGCTGCAGCCTCCCGGCCGCCGTCCCCAGCTCGGGCTCATCCCCGCAGGTGAGCGGGGGTGGGGCCACACCTGCTCCAGGTGCGTTGGGGGCGGGGCCCTCGGGGAAAGTGACGTCACTTCCGCCGTCCGGCCTCTCGCTCACCTGGCCCAGGCGCATGGGGCGCCCGGCCAGCTCGAAACCATTGAGCTGAGTCAGCGCCCGGCGAGCGCACTCGGCCTCCGAGAACTGCACAGGTGAGCGCAGGTGAGCGCAGGTGAGCACAGGTGAGCACAGGTGAGGAGAAAGGAAAAAAAAAACGGGGATTTTGGGTGAAAAAATGAAGATTTTAGAGCCAAAAATGGGGGTTTTTGGGAGGGAAAATGAAGGAATTTTGGGGTTACCTGGGCACAGGTGAGCACAGGTGAGCACAGGTGAGCACAGGTGAGGACAGGTGAGGAGAAAGGAAAAAAAAAACGGGGATTTTGGGTGAAAAAATGAAGATTTTAGGTGAAAAAATGAGGATTTTAGAGCAAAAAATGGGGGTTTTGGGAGGGAAAATGAGGGAATTTTGGGGTTACCTGGGCACAGGTGAGCGCAGGTGAGGACAGGTGAGCACAGGTGAGGGCAGGTGAGAGACAAAAAGGGAATTTTGGGTGAAAAAATGAAGATTTTAGGTGAAAAAATGAGGATTTTAGAGCAAAAAATGGGGGTTTTAGGATAAAAAATTGGGGATTTTGGGGTTACCTGGGGACAGGTGAGCACAGGTGAGCACAGGTAAGGACAGGTGAGCGCAGGTGAGGACAGGTGAGGGCAGGTGAGGAGAAAGGAAAAAAAAACCGGGGATTTTGGGTGAAAAAATGAAGATTTTAGAGCAAAAAATGGGGGTTTTAGGATAAAAAATTGGGGATTTTGGGGTTACCTGGGCACAGGTGAGCGCAGGTGAGCGCAGGTGAGGGCAGGTGAGCACAGGTGAGAGAAAAAATGGGGATTTTGGGTGAAAAAATGAGGATTTTAGGTGAAAAAATGAGGATTTTAGAGCCAAAAATGGGGGTTTTGGGAGGGAAAATGAAGGAATTTTGGCGTTACCTGGGCACAGGTGAGCACAGGTGAGCACAGGTGAGCACAGGTGAGGACAGGTGAGAGCAGGTGACGAGAAAGGAGAAAAAAAACGGGAATTTTGGGTGAAAAAATGAGAATTTTAGAGCAAAAAATGGGGGTTTTAGGATAAAAAATTGGGGATTTTGGGGTTACCTGGGCACAGGTGAGCACAGGTGAGCACAGGTGAGGGCAGGTGAGAGAAAAAATGGGGATTTTTGGTGAAAAAATGAAGATTTTAGGTGAAAAAATGAAGATTTTAGAGCAAAAAATGGGGGTTTTGGGAGGGAAAATGAGGGAATTTTGGGGTTACCTGGGCACAGGTGAGCACAGGTGAGCACAGGTGAGGACAGGTGAGGGCAGGTGAGGGCAGGTGAGGAGAAAGGAAAAAAAAACCGGGAATTTTGGGTGAAAAAATGAAGATTTTAGGTGGAAAAATGGAGATTTTAGGTGGAAAAATGGAGATTTTAGGATAAAAAATGGGAATTTTGGGGTTACCTGGGCACAGGTGAGCACAGGTAAGGACAGGTGAGAGACAAAAAGGGAATTTTAGGTAAAAAAATGGAGATTTTAGGA